CCCACCAAAAAAAAAAACCTTACCACCCTAAAAGTAAAGCAGACCACCCAATGCAAAAAAAATGATACCACCCAAACATACAACAGCCAAACAGTTAAGGCAAGCAGGCCACCCACAAATAAAGGACACCCCGAAACAAGTAGAGGGGGCCACCCAGGAAGGAAGAGGAGACCACCCGAAACGAAAAGGCAGGCCACTCAGAAAAAAAATAAGAAGACCGCCCCAGAGAGCAAAGCAGACCACCCAAAAGCTAAGGGAGGGCACCCAGGGAAGCACGGGGGACCACCAGAGAAATAATGCCGACTGCTCAGAACGTTCAGGAGGCCACCCGAAGCGCAAAGCAGACCACCCAGGAAAATAATGGAGACCACGCCGCCGAAAAAAAAAATGCATAGCCGACAACCCAAGAGGCACCCCCCACACAGACAAGGAGACCGCCCAGAAACGCAAAGGGGGACCACCCGGAAAGTAAGGCAGACCACCCAGAAAAGCAAAGCAGATCACTCGGCGAAGCAGAGGGCACCGCCCAACACGCAAAGCAGACCACACAAAAAAAACATACCACCCAACAAGTATGGATTGTGTGTGTGCGTGTGTGTGCGTGTGTGCGTGTGTGTGTGCGCGTGGTGTGGTGTGTTGTGGTGTGTTATGGTGTGTGTGTGTGTGCGTGTGAGTGTGCGCGTGCGTGTGCGTGCGTGTGCGTGTGCGTGTGCGCGTGCGTGTGCGTGTGCGTGTCCCTGTGCGTTTGCGTCTGCGTGTGCGTGCGCGTGCGCGTGTGCGTGTGCGTGTGCGTGTGCGTGTGCGCGTGCGTGTGTGTGCGTGTGCGTGTGCGTGTGCGTGTGCGTGTGCGTGTGCGTGCGCGTGTGCGCGTGCGGGTGCGTGCGGGTGGCGTGCGCGTGTGCGTGTGCGTGTGCTTGCAGGTGTGCGCGTGCGTGTGCGCGTGCGTGTGCGTGTGCGTGTGCGTGCGCGTGCGCGTGTGCGTGTGCGCGTGCGTGTGCGTGTGCGTGTGCGTTGTGCGTGTGCGCGTGCGTGTGCGCGTGCGTGAGCGCGTGCGTGTGCGTTTGCGTGCGCGTGTGCGTGTGCGTGTGCGTGCGCGTGCGCGTGCGTGCGTGCGCGCGTGCGTGTGCGTGTGTGCGTGTGCGTGTGCGTGTGCGTGTGCGTGTGCGTGTGCGCGTGCGCGTGCGTGTGCGTGTGCGCGTGTGCGCGTGTGCGCGTGAGTGTGCGTGCGCGTGTGGCGTGGGCGCGTGCGTGTTGCGTGTGCGTGGCGTGTGTGTGTGTGTGTCTGTGTGCGTGTGCGCGCGCGGGGGTGGGGGCGCGGGGCGCGCGCGGGGCGGGGGGGGCGGGGCGGGCGGCGCGGGGGCTGGCGGGGGCGGGGGGGCCCCCCCAGGGAAGTAAAGGAAATGACGCAAAAAAACGGGCAACCGATGAAAGCAAGGGCGACCACCCAAAAAACAAAAATGCCACCACCAAAAAAAAAGATACCACCCAGGAGAGCACGGGGGACCACCCGCCAAGCAAAGCAGACATGTCAGAAAAAATACAGCAGACCACCCAGACATCAAATCAGACCACCCACAACGCAAAGGAGACCGCCCAGGAAAGCAGACCCCCCCCCCCCCCCGCCCCCGAAGAAAAAACCAGCCACTCAAAAAGTAAAGCAGACCACGCAACGAGTAGCCACACCCCCCCAAAAAAAAAAAAAGCCACGCAAAAAGTAAAAGCGGCCACCCGGGAAAGCAACGGGGACAACCGCAAACGCAAGGCAAACCAACCAACCAATAAAGGCGCAGAGGAGACCACCCAGGACAGCAGGGGGGGGCGCCCGGGGCGGCAAAGCAGACCGCTCGAAAAATGAAGCAGACCACCCAACACATAAAGGAGACCCACCACGGGGCCATCCAACAAAGGAGACCACCCAGAAAACTAAGGGAGACCTGGAGCAGACCACCTAGAACAGCATGGCAGACCACTCACAAGCACCGCGCAACACCTTGGACAATAAACACTTATATATATATGATTATATATATATATATAAAGCAGACCGCGCAAAAAGTTAAGGCGGCCATCCGAGGAGTCACAGAGGCCACGCAGGAAAATAGAGGATACCACCCCAGAAGGAAACGCAGATCGCCGCACAAGTAAAGCAGACCACCCAAATAATAATGGAAACACCCCAAACAGTAGAGGAGGCCACCCAGAAATGCAATGGAGACGACGCCCAAGCAATAAAACACGCCACCCGGAAAAGCCAAGCAAAACGCGCAAAACAAGCCGGGCAGACCACGTGCAAAAGTTGAGGAGCCCACCCATGAAATGCGAGGAGACCACCGACAAAGCAAACCAGACCACCCGAAAAGTAAAACAAACCGCCCAACGGGCGAAGGAGGCCACCCAGGAAAATAAGGGACCACCCGCAACTGCAAAGCAGACCACCAAAACAATAAAAACAGACCGCCCCCCCCCCCCCCCTCTAAAAAAGCGACCACCTCGGAAAGTCAGGGGCGCCACCCAGGAGAGCAGAGGAGACCGCCCCGAGAGAGAGAGAGAGAAGAGAGAGAGAGACAGAGAAAGAGAGAGAGAGAGAGAGAGAGAGAGAGAGAGAGAGAGAGAGGGAGGGAGAGAGAGAGAGAGAGAGAGAGAGAGAGAGAGAGAAGAGAGAGAGAGAGAAAGAAAGAAAGAAAGAAAGAAAGAAAGAAAGAAAGAAAGAAATAAACAAAAAAAAAAAAAAAAAAAAAAAAAAAAAAAAGAGAGAGAGAGAGAGAGAGAGAGAGAGAGAGAGAGAGAGAGAGAGAGAGAGATAAAGAAAGAAAGAAAGAAATAATCAAAACAAAAAAAAAAAAAAAAAAAAAAAAAAAACGTAGCCATTTTGGCTCCAGGCCATGAGACACCCGACGACCGCGAGTCCCTCGCGGGCGTTTCCTGAGCGCGAGGGGTCTCGCGCTTTGGGCCCGGACTCTTTGCAATTTCCTGGCCAGCGCTCACGGCCGCGGCGGGCGGCGGCCGCGCTCTGTCTCCTTGCCGCGCTGGGGGCGCCACGGCTGGGGCAGCTCTGGCGGCGGGACGCGCGGCGGGGGTGGCAGCGGCAAGTCAGGGAAGTCAGGGGGGTCTGGCGGCGGGCCCCGCAGCGGCGAGTCTGGGGCTGCGGCCAAGGCAGCTGCCAAGAGCCCCTGGTACTGCAAGTCGTGCAGTACGCCTGGCGCCAGGGGCTTCAGGAAGCTCAACTTCAAGGACCGCATGCAGCGCAAGTGGTGCAACATGCCGACGAGTTCCCACTTCGGGGGGGAGCCGGCGCAGGCGGCGCCCTCGCGGAGCAACGCCGAGGTCAAGCTCGCCCAGGCGCTGGACGAGCTCAAGAAGCTCAAGGCGGCGGCGGCCCAGCCTGGTGCGGGAGGCAGCTCTGCGCCCGGAGGAGGCACGCCCCCCCGGCGAGAGGACGCAGCGGCGGGGGGCGAGAAGATCCAGCGCTTGGAGCAGCTGGAGAAGCAGCTGGGCGAGATTCGGCGCAGGGCGGACATGGAGGGCGAGGGGGGCGACTAGGCCGCCCGCAGCAGGAAGGCCAAGCTCGAGGCGGAGCGAGATCAGCTGCGCCAGGAGGTCTTCCAGGCCAAGCCCAAGGACGGGCAGCTCAAGAGCCGCGCGGACCAGATCAGGTAGCTGGAGAAGCAGCAGGAGAAGGGCCGCGGGGAGATGGTGGCAGTGGCGGCGCAGCAGAAGGAGCTTGACGAAAAGGCCGGAGCGCTGCGCCTGGCGGACGCCGAGAGGGAGGCGAAGCTGGCCGAGCTCAGGGCGGAGCAGGCTCGCACGCTGGGCAAGTTGGCTCAGCCTCCTTCTGAGCTGCGCAGTGGCATGGAGGGGGAGATCGAGGTCGAGGGCCTTAAGGTCTCCGCCAACTTCCTGGGCAAGTTGCTGGGTTCGATCGGGATCGAAGGGGCTCTGCATGCGTCGCTGCTGGAGCAGGCGACCAAGGTCGAGCCGCAACGCCGAGAGGCCAGGGCTGCCGAGGCTGCAGCGGCAGCACCCGCCAAGGCGGCCGAGCGGGCGCGTGCCCCGATCCCTGGGGAAGGAGTCCCTGCAGGCGGAGATGCCATGGACGACGAGGAGCTGGACGTTGACACGCAGCTCAACTTCCTCACGAAGGTGGGGGCTGCCCCAGCTGGGGTCGAGGGCACTGATCGCCCTGCTGACGATGATGCGCGCGAGGCCTTCAAGCGGTTCTACGCCGACTTGGACCTGCTGCCGCCCAAGCGGGCGCGCACTTCGGCCTGAGGGCAGCGCAGGAGCCATGGCGGGCAGCAGTGGCAATGGGGTGGCCGACTACAACGAGTTGTACGAGGCCGACGAGCAGGCTGCCCGTGCCTTGGGAGTCTGCGACTACTGGGGAGCTGACGGCTGCCCAGGGTGCGCAGCGGCAGCGGGCGCTGGTGGCGCGGCGCTGGGGTTGCGGTGCGCGGATGAGCTGCAGGGGTCGGCCTCAGACTACGGGCTGCATGACCTTCCTGGAGGCACTCTCGCGGAGGGGGCGGATCTTCAGACCCACTCTGGGCGGAAGGGGGTGGTCGGCCATCAAGGGTTCGGCCCCGGGACGTCAGAGGCGGTTGACCAGGATGGGTCTCCCAACTGGCAACCGCGGGTGGCGGCCTCAGGGCACGGCCCAGGGGGGGGGGCGGAGGGATTCAGCCCCTCGATGTCGCAGCCTCCCCCCCGCGCGGACTTCACCTTCGGCGACTCGTTGGAGGGGGCGACCAGTTCTTCGAGGAGCTCGGCCGCCCCGTCTGCCAGGAGGGCTGCAGGCCCCGAGGCCCTGCCTCGGTAGGAGCTGCAGCCGATCCTGCGCGCCCTGGGCGGAGCTCGAGCCCCCCGCTCGCCCTGCCCCCCCCCCCCCATCCCCAGCCGCGGGATGGCGCCGCCCTCCCGCGGGCCCCAGGCCTGCCTGGCCAGAGGACAGGGGCTGCAGGCCCACCTCGGGGCCGCGTGGATGAGCGCGCGCCTATGGTCAGGGGAGGCTTCTGCCTGGCCACCGCCAACGTGACGTCGCGGGGGCCCTTGAACGAGTACCTCCTTCAGGCGGATGGACAGACGACCCTGGCGCTGGCCGTGCAGGAGCACCACTGTGCGGCAGGCGTTCTGGCGACGCAGCAGCGGGCGGCCAAGGATGCTGGCTGGCACGGGGTCTGGAGCGCCGCTACGCCGTCCCCGACATCGACGACGGGTACGAGCGACGGGGTCGCGGTGTTGGCCCCCGCCAGCATCCCGTTGACGGGGCCCCCTGGGCGCGACTCGCACGTGCTGGTGCCTGGGCGGCTGGCCGCTGGGCATGTACGAGCAGGACCTCAAGGAGGCGCGGTGGTGCTGAGCGTGTACCTGCACGTCGGAGAAGGGCTCTCGGCGAACAACCTGGGCATCAGATGGCAGCTGGCCCAGTACCTCGGCGTGCTGGAGGCGGAGGGCTACCACTCGGCGGTCATGGGAGACTGGAACATGGAGGCGGGCGTCATGGACTTCGGGTGGATCCGCAGGCTGCGAGCGCAGATTCGGGTACCCGACGCCCCCACCTGCAGGCAGGGCAGCGGCTCCAGGATCGACTACTTCGTGGTGTCCAAGAGCCTGGCTGGCTTTGCGGCGGCACCGCCGCGGCTTGACAGGGGTGCCAGCACGTGGCCCCCCTGGCCCGTCCACCTGCCCCTGCGGGCACTGAGAGTGGAGTCTTGGCAGCAGGTGCTGGATGAGCCGGGAGCAGTTCCCAGGGAGCCCGCCAAGCCTGGCTGCGCCCGTGGCCCCTGGCGGTGGACGGAGGTGATGCGATGCGTCCAGGCCACGCACGCCGACCAAAGCCTGCAGATCATCTGGGACCTGTTGCTGGAAGGGATTGAGACGGAGATCCTCAACAGGCGGGACCTGGTGGGACCCGCGCGCCGCACCTTCGCTGGGCGCGGCACGCGGGGGGGAGGCTGCAGGCTTGGGATGGGAGATGGCGCAGTGGAAGCCACCCCAGAAGCGGAAGCTGCGGGGGCCAGAGGCGCACGCCTGGGCGGCGCTGGCTGGGAGGGCGTCCGAGCCCCTCAGCAAACGAGACCGCCTGGGCAAGCTGCTGGCAGCGCTGGACAGCCACCGGCAGGAGGAAGGCAGAAAGGCGGTCGCGGCGAGGGACAAGTGCGTGAAATCCATCGCGGCCACCCTGGCGCGCCTCAAGATGTTCCTGGCGGACATCGAGAACCATGTGCACTGGCGGACCATGCCGCGGTGGACACAACGGCCATTTGGAGAGAATTCCAACTGGGCAGAGGCGGGCTTCGAGCGGGACCTCAACCGTGCGCTGGTTGAGGCGAAGGAGAAGCAGAGGAGGCTGGTCCAGGCCGACGAGGCCCGCTGGAAGGAGTGGGTGGACGAGGCCTTCCTGGGCGGCGCGGGAGGTACCTGCACTCCAGGAAGTGCTGCCCGCGCTGCAGAAGGAAGGTTCAGCGGCCTTGGTGGACAGGGAGATGAAGCCGTGGATCGACATCTGGAACTACCACGGCCTCACCAGCATGGAGCCCCCCCCCCCCCCCCCGACGCGCATACATGGGACAAGTTGCCGCCGTTGCAGGTGCACGACGTGAGGGATGTGATACGTTCGTTCCCATGGCGCACAGGGGTGGGCCAGTCGGGCATTCCGCCGAGGGCGCTGGAGGATCTCTCCGACGAGGCCCTGCATGCCATGGTTGCGGTCTACCACACTTGCGAGGAGCTCCTCGCGTGGCCGAGTGGCCGCCTCATCAACGCCATGGTGAGGCTGCCCAAGCCTGACGGGGGCTGCAGGCTGATCGGCCTCATGCCGACCTTGGTGCGAGTGTGGGGTCGAGCAAGAAGGCCGATCACCAACGACTGGGAGCTTGCCCATCCTTCGGCCCTGGTTTGGGGCACGGGCCCTGGACGCTCGAGCTCCGACTCCGCGTGCGAGCTGAACCTGGCCAAGGAACAGGTTCGCCTGGGCGGCTTGGACTCGGCCCAGGTGGCCCTCGACCTCTGGAAGGCCTACGAGCTGGCGGCGCCAGAGGCGCAGATGGTGGAGGCACGAGCGCTGGGGTTCCCTATGAGGTTGGCGTGGATGCTGTTGAGCACCTATCGGCAGCCAAGGACGCCGGCGGCGTTCAATACCACGTCGGCCCTCTTCGTGGCCTGGCAAAGGAATATTGCAGGGTGCGGCCACGCCAACTCGCTGCTGATGGTACTCACGCTCCGCGCGCTGCAGAGAGCGCACGCCATTGCGCCGTCGGTGACACCGCGTGGCCTGGTGGACGACGTAACCCTGGACTGGAGTGGACCACGGGGCGCGTCCGACAACAGCGTGTCCGAAGCGCTCACAAGCTTCTCGTCGAGCATGGTGGAGCTCAGGCTAGTCATGCAGCCGCAGAAGTCGGGGTGCCTGGCCTCCTCCAGACTGAGGGCGCGGCTGCTGGCGCCCTCTATGCGGTGCGCGGGCATCGCGGGAAAAGTTCTGGGTGCGCAACCTAGGGCGCGAGCTCCATGGGCGGAAGGTGCTCCGTACTCAGGAGAAGCGCCGCCTTCAGGCCCTCGCGGCCAGGCGCAGCCGAGTGGCCATGCTCAGGCGGGCCGCTGGAAGGCGCGCAGCGGCCCTGATACCCGCGGGCCTATCCCCGTCGGCCGGCCATGGCGCGGGCGTAGCTGGCCTGGCGGATCGGCCGCTGGCACAGCTGAGGACGGTGGCGGCGGCCACGGCGGGTGCCAAGGCGGGCTGTGGTACCGCCGCGGTCATGCTGCTGCAGCGGCGCGTGGACTTCGACCCGATCTACGCAGCCACCATCCCGCTGGTGACGCGCCTGGCCAGCCGCATCTGGGAGGGCCGAGGATCCCTGGCCAGCCTGAGCGCCAGCTGGGGCAAACTGGTTGAGGCGGCGAGGGCGGGCGCGCTGTCCTGGGCGACGATGCAAGGCCCGCTCGGGGCCACGTGGCTCACGCTCGGCCGCATCGGCTGGACGATGACAGCGGCGTGGGCGCTGCAGACCGACCTGGGCGAGACGATGTCCATGCTGAGGGTGGCCCCGCGGGACATCAAGGACGCCCTGGTGGAGGGCATCCAGCGCTGGCAGTGCAGGCGGCTGGTAGCCCACCTGCCCGAGGGCCAGTGCGAGACCCTCTGGCCGAAGGCAGTCCGCGCCGTGGCGTGCAAGACGAGGCCCGCTGCGGAGCTGGGGGCCATTCAAACGGTTTGGGCAGGAGGGCACTTCACCAACGCCTGGAGATACGCCAGAGGACACGCCGACTCCGACACGTGCCAGGCCTGCGGGGGAGCCAAGGACACGCTCATGCACAGGTGGTGCGCGTGCCCTGCCCTTATGGCACCGCAGGGCGAAGAGTTGGAGCACGAGGAGCCGTTCCGCAAGCCGATTGCGGGGATGCGCCGCCAGCTAGAGGAGGCCGAGCAGAAGTGGACCATCGGGGGCAGCGAGCTGCCACTGTCGCACGACCTGCCGCTGCTACCTGCCATGCCGCCGCCTGCGCCGTCGGACAACGTGGTCCTGGAGTGGGGCGCCACGCAGGAGGGCTGGCCGTCGGTGGTATACACGGACGGCTCAGGGCACGCCTCCAGCGACCCCGAAGCGCGAAGGTGTGGATGGGCCGCGGTGGCCCTCAGGCCTGATGCCCCCCCCCCCCCCCCCCTCAAGGCGGCATACGGGCCGCTGCCTGGGCCACGCCAGACGATGGGGGGGGGGGAGCGGCAAGCGCGCCTAGTGCCCCTGGTGCAGGCGGGCTCCGTCCAGGTCATCGTCAACGACCTGCAGGCCCTAGTCACGGAGGGCAACGACTGGTCCCCGACGGCGCAATCGGCCAGGGGACGGCACGCCAGCACCTGGCGCCAGCTCCATGCGGCTGCAGCGAGGCGCGGGGGACAGCCGCCGCGCTTCCGATGGGTGCCCGCCCACCGCAGCCTCCAACAAGCGCTGGACGAGGGCATGCGGCCCCTGGGCTGGCTGAGGAACTGCTGGGCGGACTTGTTCGCCAACCTCGGCGCGGGGGAGGCCAGGCTGCCCAACAACACGGTGGAGGCGCTGCAAGCGAAACCCCAGCGCGCCCTGAACACGGCCACGTTCCTGGGCTGGGCGGCGGCGCGCATCTGCCAACTGGACCTGCGGATGCCCCTCGGCGAAGATGGCAGACTCCAGCGCCGTCAGGTTTGGAGGGGGCCCGCGGCCCCAAAGCTCAGCCTCACGAGGCGCGAGTACCAGGTCATCAGCTCGTGCGGAGTGCAATGTGTGCACTGCGGCAGGGGGGCCTACACGGCGAGGGCACGGACGCTGTTGGACTGCAGACCCTGCCAGACTACGGAGCTGGGCAGGATGCGGGCCCACTGCAACCAGGGGCGGCCACTGGCGAGTTCAGCAGCTGTCAATGCGAGCCTGCAGGCGGCTGAGCGTCTGGAGGAGGAGGAGCTCCTGCCCACGAGCGGGGCGCACACCACGGCAGAGGACCATGAGTTGACGTTGCAGCGGAAGGTCGACCACCTGCTGGAGGCGGCCAAGGGTGCCCCTGCCGCGAGGCCTGCCGACACGGAGGCATCTGGACCGCCAAAGGCACGGTGGTCGCAACGACCCGTTCTTCGACCCGACCGAAGCTGCGAGCAGGGCGCCGCGGGGCGCGTGGGCTTGGCGTGGCCGCAGGAAGGCAACGACCTCTTCGCCACCGAAGCGTGGGACCGCGCTGGGCCGCTGGAGGCCGCCTTGGGCGCACTGGCTAGCTCCTGGATCGTCGACCTGATGGACCAGGGCCTGGCCTACGCGTCCTGGATGGAGGAGTGCGTGGAGTAATTACGTGCACAGGCTGCTGGACGAGGAGGTCTACCGCGGCTTCTTCGCGCATAACCGCGACGAGATGCGCAGCGCGGAGCAGCTGAGGCGGGCCGAGGAGTTCTGCGAGAGAGGATGGCGCGGCGGCGGGCCTTTCAGGGAGGCCCACGTCGACGAGACGCTCCAGCTGGGGGGCGAGGCCAGACAAGCCAAGCTCCAGGGGCTGAGGGACTACCACGCTGCGGCGCGCGCCTTCCTGTGCGATCGTGGGAACGCACGGCGCGCTGGGGGCAGACGTGGGCCTCTCTACTTCACCTTCTTCGAGCCCGTGGGCGGAGCGTATGGAGGTGGGAGCGGCGGCCGGCGACAGAGCGGTGCGGCCCAGCGGCGAGGGCGCTCGAGGTCTCGGACGAGCAGCCGTACCAGCCAGTCGCAGGGCCCCGCGGGAGGCCGAGCCGAGCCGCAGAGGCCTGCGCTGCCGCGGCCAAGGGGCGTTGCGGATGGCCCACCACGGCCAGTGGGCCCGCGGGCCGCCCACGCCCAGCGGCGCAGGCGCAGTGCGAGGCGGTCGGCCAGCAGGCCCCGCTCTCGACGCGCGCGGGGCCAGCCCGCGGCCCATGCCAAGGACGAGCGCAACAGCAGCCCCGACCCTGACGCGGCGATCGGCCTGGAGGTGCTCCGCAGCATGCTGAGGGCCTTCGCGGGCTGGGGCGTTCGACCTGCGCGACTCGGAGGCCGCGGAGGACTCCTGGATGGCTTGGGCGGCGCAGTGCGCCCTCGCCTGGCTGGCCAGGCCCGACAATGAGGACGCGAGGGCGGCGGCTGCGAGGCGTGCAGGCTCAATAGGCTTGCGAGCGCTGGCCCAGGCGATGGTCAGGCAAGCGTGGCTCTTGACAGCGGACGCGCGGCGCATCACAGTGGGGCACCTGGTGGGCCTGGAGACCCTGGAGGACTGGCTGCACGTGGCTGCCCTGCAGCGGGCCACACTGGACGACGTCTGCTGCGCCATGGGGGACGTCATCGGCGAGGCGGGGGCCAACCTGCCCGCGCTGCCTGGCTTCGCTGGCGCCCTGCCCGGCCTGGGCCCCGCTGGCTCTAGCGAGCAGCCATCCCGCCAAGCTGGCCTGCCGCGGCCCCTGTGCCATCGCGGCCGAGGGATTGAAGCGCTGCGGCGGCCGTGGCCAGGCACTTGGCGCAAACAGCAGCTGCCGATGGCGAATGCGATGCAGGGCGGGCCAGGGGGCCCGGGCAGCGACAGCGACGGCGAGGACGACTGGCCGCGCCCAGAGGCGGCGCCGCCCGGGCTGCCCCCGCCCCCGCCCGCGGCCGCAAGGGGCCAGGCACCGCCGCCGCAGCCAGAGGGGGCGGTTCAGAGACTTCGTGGCGAGGCCGATGCGGTGGGTGGCGGCGACCCTGCGCTGGGTCACGGAGGAGGCGGGGCTGCGGCTGCCCGCGGGGCAGGGGGCCTCCCCGCGGCGGCTGCCCGTGCCCTTGCAGCGGCGGCGGCAGCGGCTGCTGGGCCCAGCGAGTGCGGCGGCGGCGGGCAGGGGTCGAGTGCGAATGCCCGAGGGGCCCAGCGCTCGAGGAGCCCCGAGCGGGTGGGAGGCCCCCGCCCGCCACGTGGTGAGGCGCAGCTCGCAGAGGTGCACTTGGGGCACGGCATGCGGACGGCGTGCCAGTACGCCTTCTGCTGCAAGTGCGGGGCCTTCGCGCAGCTGAAGGGCGTGGATCGGCCCAAGGGCCTGAAGGCGGACTGCGGCGGCCGCCCGCCGCTCGGGCCGCCGGCCACGGCTGGGGAGAAGAAGAAGAAGAGGCTCTACCTGGGCCGCCTGCTGAGCGGGAAGGGCCCGTGCACGGGGCTCGGATGAGCTCGGAGCTGCTGGTGCTGGCGGGCTGCCCGCTGGCCCTGCGGGCCCCTCGGCCGCGCGCCTGGCGCGTGCCCACCTCCTGGGCGCAGCCTTGCTGTGGCCCAGGTCCTGCTCGGCCGCGCGCCTGCGCGCGGCCGCCTGCGGCCTGCTGGGGCGGGCCGCCCTGATGCCAGGCCTGCAGCCGCGTGGGCTGCGCGGCCTTGCGCGCGCGTTCGGGCGCCCGCGGTCGGCCCGATCGACTGCGGTCGCTCCACGGGGTGCGAGAGAGAGAGAGAAGAGAGAGAGAGAGAGAGAGAGAGAGAGAGAGAGAGAGAGAGAGAGAGAGAGAGAGAGAGAGAGAGAGAGAGAGAGAGAGAGAGAGAGAGAGAGAGAGAGAGAGAGAGAGAGAGAGAGAGAGAGAGAGAGAGAAGAGAAGAGAAGAGAGAGAAGAGAGAGAAGAGAAGAGAAGAGAAGAGAAGAGAAGAGAAGAGAAGAGAAGAGAAGAGAAGAGAAGAGAAGAGAAGAGAAGAGAAGAGAAAGAGAGAGAGAAGAGAAGAGAAGAGAAGAGAAGAGAAGAGAAGAGAAGAGAAGTGAAGAGAAGAGAAGAGAGAAAGAGAAGAGAGAGAGAAGAGAGAAGAGAAAAGAAGAGAAGAAGATAAGAGAAGAGAAGAGAGAGAGAGGCAAAAAAAGAGAAGAGAGAGAGAGAGAAGAGAGAGAGAGAGAGAGAGAGAGAGAGAGAAAGAGAGAGAGAGAACCAAAAAAATGAGAGAGAGAGAGGGAAAGAGAGAGAAAGAGAGAGAGAGAGAACCAAAAAAATGAGAGAGAGAGAGAGAGAAAGAGAGAGAGAGAGAGAAACAAGAGAGAGAGAGAAAGAAAGACATAAATAAAGAAAGACACATAGAGAGAGGGGGAGGAATATACATATATATATATACATATATAGAGAGAGAGAAAGAGAGAAAGATAATGAAATCGAAAAAGAAAGATAGAGAGAGAGAGAGCAAACAAGAGAGGGGGAGAGGGAGAGAGAGAGAGAGAGAAAGAAAGAGAGAAAGAGAGAAAGAGAAAGAGAGAGAGAGAAAAGAAAGAAAGAAAGAAAAATAAAGAAAAAGAAACCAACAAAAAGAGAGAGAGAGAGAGAGAGAGAGAGAAATAAAGAACGAAAGAAAGAAAGAAAGAAAGACAGAAATAAAGAGAGAGAGAGATAGATAGAGAGAGAGAAGGGGGGGGACAAGAGAGAGAGAGAGAGAGAGAACGAGAACGAGAGAGAGAGAGAGAGAGGCAATGGAGACCACCCAAACCTAAAAATAAACCACCCCGCAAGAGCACGGCAGACCACCCTGAAGAGCGAAGCGAAAAGCCCAATAACTAAAGCAGGCAACTCAGGAAAAGACAAGGGGGCCATCCAGGAAAACACAAGAGACAACCTGAGAAGCAAAGCAGACAGACCATGAAAGTTGAGCAGACCGCCCAAGAAGCAGAGGAGACCGCCCAGAACGCAAGGGAGACCGCCCAGGGAAGCAAGGGAGACCACCAACAATGAAAAGCAGAGCGCTCAAAAAGTAGGGCAGACCGCCCAGGGGGGAGGCCGCCCAAGGAAATAAAAGACCGCGCGGGAAGTGAGGGAGACCACCTAGGAAGTGAATCAGACCGCCTAAGACGCAGAGCAGACCGCCCGGGGTAGCGAAGGGGACAGCCCAGTTAAGCACGGCGCGCCGCCGACAGAAATTAAAACAGACCACCAAAAAACCGTCGAGCAGCCCGCCCGAGAACTAAAAGAGCCCACCCAGGAAATTAAGGGAACCACGCAAAAAAAAAATACCACCCAAAAAATAATAGGCCCACCCCAACGCGCACAGGAGGGCCCCCAGACCAGCGCAGGAGGCGACCCAAAAAAATCAAGCCGACCACCACACAAGCAAATCAGACAACCCAACAAGTAACGGATACCCCCCGAAACAAAAAAGATACCACACCGGAAACTAATGGGCCCACCAAAAACGTAAAGCAGGCCACCCGAAACGTAGACAGGAGACCGCCCAGGAAAGCAAAGGAGACCACCCGAAAAAATAAGACGCAGACCGCCCAAAAGGTAAAGCAGGCCTCCCAGAAAGTAAGGAGACCTCCCAAAGGCAAAGGAGACCACTCAGGAAAGCAAGGGGGGGCCACAGAAAACGCCAAGCAGACCGCCCAACCAGCGAAGCAGACCATCCAAACAGTAGGGGCCACCCAACACATTATATATATAAATATAAGCAGACCACTCAGAAAGCAAGGAACGCCCCGGAAAAGTAAAGGGGGCCGCGCGGACAAGTGCGGGGGGGCCCTGGGACGCACAAATAAATACACACAAACAAAAGGATTCCATGAATTGTCCCATATGTTCTGGGTTTTTGCCCTCCCGCCCAATTACCATATTTCCCATATTTTTGGGGGGTCGACGATTAATTGCGTCTGCGCGATTTCCCCCCTCGTGAAAATAAAGGGCCACCGCGCGGCGGCGAAAGCGACCCCTCGATGTCGCGCGGGCGAAAGCGCGGGCGAGAGCGAGGGCAGGAACCATGAGATCGCGGGGGCAGCGGCATCTGCGCCACTGCATGCAAGAAATGATGAGACTAATAATCAAAAACCAATCAGGACACGGCGCGCGCAGCAACGCGCAGCGCAGCGCGCCGCTCCACATTCTGGCGAGTGGGCCAAAACGCGTCGACGATGCTTCTCCGACCGGAGAACTCTCAGCAGCGCGCTTCTGATTGGCCGCGGAATGCGCGACTGTCCTTCGGCGAGTCGAATTGGAGACTTGCCCGGCGACCGCGCGCGCGCCAAACTGCGCTGGAGCGCGCGGGGAAAGAGTTCAGCAGATAACTGACGCCGTGAACGGGGGTCCGCGGCAACGGGCGCAGAACGAGAAGGCGAGCCATCGCGCCCAGGAAATACGAGACATGATGAGAGAGCTCGCGCCGAGATTGCCGCGGATGGGCGGCGAGGGCGGGCTCGACTCGAGCAAGGTCGGGGGGTCGGGCCTGCAGAACGCGCCAGACAAGCGCCGCCCGGGAAGCGCAGGGGGCCACCCGAAAAAGTGAAGCTGACCACCCAGGAAAGCAACGCAGACCACCCAAAAAGTAAAGGAGACCACCCAGGAAAGTAAAGGAGACCACCCAGGAAAATGAGGAGACCACCGAACAAGCACAGCAGACCACCCAACAAGTAAAGGATACCCCAAAAAAGCACAGGAGACCACCCAGGAAGGCAAAGAAGACCACACAGAAAAGCATAGCGGAATGCCAGAACAAGAGAAGCAGACCACCAAACATGCAAGGCAGACCACCCCAGAAGTAAGGGGGGCAACCCAGGAAATCAATGTAGACCACCGAGAGAAGTACAGCAGACCACCGGGACAAGTAAAGCAGACCACGCAAGAAGTAAAGGAGACCACTCCAAAAACGCAACGGAGACCACTTCAGGTTGTTTATAAAAAAAGACTTCCAACATGTAAAGGAGAACACCGAACAGAAAAGGGGGTCGCTTTTTTCCCCTCTCATTTCTTGAAACACACACACACATTATTTGTTTAAAAGGAAAAACACGCTTATATATACATATACATATATGTATATATACACACACACACATATATATATATATATATAACGCACCCCAAAAACGCTATAATAACAGCTGACCAAAAGTAAAGCAGGCCACCGGAGAAACACAGCAGACCACGCAGGAAAGCAAAGGAGACCACCCGGGGAAGCAAGGCAGATCGCGCCACAAAAAGCAAAGCAAAGCGATATATATATATATATATATATATATATATATATATACATATATATATATATACATACACATATAAATAAACGTAGAGAAGACAACCGAACAAAGCAAATCATACCATAAAAGAAAACACTACAGACCACACCAGAAACAAGCAAAAGAAACGGCGGGACAAAATCGGGGCCACCCAAAAAGTAAACCAGACCAACCAGGAAAGTGAAGAAGACCACTCGGGAAACTAGAGGAGACCGTTCCAGACAAGCAAGGGGGGGCCGCGCACGAAAATACAGATGACCACCCAGAAAGAAAGGGGGGCGCCCGAGAAACTGCAGGAGACCCCCAAAACAAGGGAAGCAGACAACCCAAAAAAGGAAAAGAGACCACCCAAGAAGTAAAGCAGACAACCACCCAAGGAAGTAAAGCAGATGACCAAAAACAAATACAGCTGGGCAGCCAGGAAACGTTCTGGGTGGTTTGCGTTGCTTCCTTGGGCTGGTCTCCCTTGCTTTCCTGG